ACGGTGAGCTTGGGAACGAAGATATCATCAATACGGTGAGCTTGGGAACGAAGATATCATCAACACGGTGAGCTTGGGAACGAAGATATCATCAACACGGTGAGCTGGGAACGAAGATATCATCAACACGGTGAGCTGGGAACGAAGATATCATCAACACGGTGAGCTGGGAACGAAGATATCATCAACACGGTGAGCTGGGAACGAAGATATCATCAACACGGTGAGCTTGGGAACGAAGATATCATCAACACGGTAAGGAAAAGACTCAACGTTTCGCTGTGTTCAATTTTTATCAAGTTCATAAAGAATTAGACACATGTGCAACATCTGGGTATCTTTACTGTAGACGTTTCGCCATCCAGTGGCTTTATCAGTACAAATTCCAGGACATAATGGAAAGACAGTAGAATTATACACAAAAGATAAGGTAATCAGTCACATACTCGTATGTTACATAATAAATAGGCTGTGAAATAAGCTGATGTAGGTAACAGCTCTTACTTTGTAAATAAAGTAATGAATCTTTAGTTTAATCCTGTAAAACCCTGAGAAAGAGATAGATAGATAGATAGATAGATAGATAGATAGATAGATAGATAGAGAGAGAGAGAGAGAGAGAGAGAGAGAGAGAGAGAGAGAGAGAGAGAGAGAGAGAGAGAGAGGCAATAACACAAAAGTTATATAACACGATACACTGGTTACAATAGCCACTTGGTGAAAGCAAATCTTTACAGACAACGTTTCGACCTAAGTAGAGCTTATCAGTTCCCTCGTCTACAACAAAGGTTATCCCCGGCACGTTTCCACCTCGCATGTGGACAACACCCGCAACCCTCTAGACGCCACCTTGTAAAATCGACCACTGTACGACCTTTCGATCTACCCGGAATCATTATCAAGTCACAGGCGAACGAGAACATGGAAAAACACCAGAAAATATAAGTTCAATAATTTTTTTTTTTTTTATTATCACACCGGCCGATTCCCACCAAGGCAGGGTGGCCCGAAAAAGAAAAACTTTCACCATCATTCACTCCATCACTGTCTTGCCAGAAGAGATTAGAAGATAGACTGGTAAAGAGGGGAGGAAAGGGAAGATAGATAGGTCAGGTGACAAAAATAGGTGAAAATAGGCCAGGAGGTGAATAGTGGGCAAGGTCTCCTTACTCCCACTAACACTGTTCACCTAGCGGTAAACAAGTGCAGGAGGGCCCCTCTTATGCAGCAGGTTAGCTTCAGGTTACCGCTGTAAAGCGAAACATAGCTTTTTTTTCACTTTCAAATGCATATATAAACCTGATAACATGTTTACATTGTATTATGTTAATATGCAATAGAGTTAGGCCAAAAAAATGAATATATTTACTGTAGGAAGTCTGAATAAATGAAGAATGGATACAATTAAAAACCGCTGCATTGTTGAAACGCTGTAAAGTGAAACGCTGTGAAACTCCTGTGCCCGGGAGCCAGTCGACTGCTAATCACGACAAGATTAAACTGGACGAGAAACTGTTCATAAAGGATTGGGCGAATGTTTTTGTTAAGTGGGTTTGGATTTGACAAGGATCTGCCAAGCATGGGCCAGTAGGCCTGCTGTCAGTGCTAATCCTTTCTTATGTTCTTATGAAAAATATAAAAGCGGCAGTGATGGCTAGCAGCAACAGTCTGGTGAACCAGGGAGTAACCAAAGAATTTTACCTGGATCTCTTGTAGTTCTTCTAGGATAGACTAACTCTCAAAACCAGCTACAGGAATGTCACAGGCACGACAGCTAGGCCTAGGCTTCGAAATGGGCCGAGATCAAAAAAAAGATCTGGTAAAGATATATATTGATTACAGTCTTATGTTATCTTTCTGGGGAAGATGATCTTTGTCTATCTCTCCTTCCTTGTTATCTTGTTGTGGCTGCCATGTTATCCTGGTGTAATTGCGTTCCCTGTTATCTTAGTGGCTGCCTTAACTTGGTGCAGCTGCCTGACGGTACAAATACATAACCATCAGAACCTTGAATGGTTATCGTCTCCCTTCCCCCCAGTGGGTTATGATAACCCACTGGGAGTTATAACCCTTAGTGGGTTATAACTCCCAGTGGGTTATGACCCCCAGTGGGTTATGACTCCCTAGTTTGTTATCCCGAACCCCGTGTGGGTTAGAGTCCCCACCACCACCGTGGGTTGGATCATGACAGCAGTCTTCTAGGAGTACCATGGGCTGGAGCATGACAGCACTCTCCTAGGAGCACCATGGGCTGGAGCATAACAGCACTATCCCAGAAGCACCGTGGGTTGGAGCATGACAGCACTTTCCTAGGAGTACCGTAGGCTGAAGCATGACAGCAAGCTCCCAGGAGCATCCTGGGCTGGAGCATGACAGCAAGCTCCCAGGAGCATCGTGGGCTGGAGCATGACAGCAGGCTCCCAGGAGCATCGTGGGCTGGAGCATGACAGCACTCTCTCAGGAGCATCGTAGGCTGGAGCATGACAGCACTCTCCCAGGAGCACTGTGGGCTGGAGCATAACAGCACTCTCCCAGGAGCACCGTGGGCTGGAGCATGACAGCAGGCTTCCAGGAGCACCGTGGGCTGGAGCATGACAACACTCTCAGGAGCACCGTGGGCTGGAGCATGACAGCGCTCTCAGGAGCACCGTGGGCTGGAGCATGACAGCAAGCTCCCAGGAGCATCGTGGGCTGGAGCATGGCAGCAGGCTCCCAGGAGCATCCTGGGCTGGAGCATGACAGCACTCTCAGGAGCATCGTGGGCTGGAGCATGACAGCAAGCTCCCAGGAACATCCTGGGCTGGAGTATGACAGCAAGCTTCCAGGAGCATCGTGGGCAGGAGCATGACAGCACTCTCCCTAGAGCACCGGGGGCTGGAGCATGACAGCACTCTCCCTGGAGCACCGGGGGCTGGAGCATGACAGCACTCTCCCTGGAGCACCGGGGCTGGAGCATGACAGCACTCTCCCTGGAGCACCGGGGGCTGGAGCATGACAGCACTCTCCCTGGAGCACCGGGGGCTGGAGCATGACAGCACTCTCCCTGGAGCACCGGGGGCTGGAGCATGACAGCACTCTCCCTGGAGCACCGGGGGCTGGAGCATGACAGCACTCTCCCTGGAGCAAGACAGCACTCTCCCTGGAGCACCGGGGGCTGGAGCATGACAGCACTCTCCCTGGAAGCACCGGGGGCTGGAGCATGACAGCACTCTCCTTGGAAGCACCGGGGGCTGGAGCATGACAGCACTCTCCCTGGAGCAAGACAGCACTCTCCCTGGAGCACCGGGGGCTGGAGCATGACAGCACTCTCCCTGGAGCACCGGGGGCTGGAGCATGACAGCACTCTCCTAGGAGCACCGTGGGCTGGAGCATGACAGCACTCTCCCTGGAGCACCGGGGGCTGGAGCATGACAGCACTCTCCCTGGAGCACCGGGGGCTGGAGCATGACAGCACTCTCCCTGGAGCACCGGGGGCTGGAGCATGACAGCACTCTCCCTGGAGCACGGGGGTGGAGCATGACAGCACTCTCCCTGGAGCATCGGGGGCTGGAGCATGACAGCACTCTCCCTGGAGCACCGGGGGCTGGAGCATGACAGCACTCTCCCTGGAGCACCGGGGGCTGGAGCATGACAGCACTCTCCCTGGAGCACCGGGGGCTTGAGCATGACAGCACTCTCCCAGGAGCACCGGGGGCTGGAGCATGACAGCACTCTTCCAGGAGCACCGGGGGCTGGAGCATGACAGCTCTCCCAGGAGCACCGGGGCCTGGAGCATGACAGCACTCTCCCTGGAGCACCGGGGGCTGGAGCATGACAGCACTCTCCCTGGAGCACCGGGGGCTGGAGCATGACAGCACTCTCCCTGGAGCACCGGGGGCTTGAGCATGACAGCACTCTCCCAGGAGCACCGGGGGCTGGAGCATGACAGCACTCTTCCAGGAGCACCGGGGGCTGGAGCATGACAGCACTCTCCCAGGAGCACCGGGGGCTGGAGCATGACAGCACTCTCCCTGGAGCACAGGGGGCTGGAGCATGACAGCACTCTCCCTGGAGCACCGGGGGCTGGAGCATGACAGCACTCTCCCTGGAGCACCGGGGGCTGGAGCATGACAGCACTCTCCCTGGAGCACCGGGGGCTGGAGCATGACAGCAGGCTCCCAAGAGTACCGTGGGCTGGAGCATGACAGCACTCTCCCAGGAGCACCGGGGGCTGGAGCATGACAGCACTCTCCCAGGAGCACCGGGGGCTGGAGCATGACAGCACTCTCTCAGGAGCACCGTGGGCTGGAGCATGACAGCAAGTTCCCAGGAGCATCGTGGGCTGGAGCATGACAGCAAGCTCCCAGGAGCATCCTGGGCTGGAGCATGACAGCAGGCTCCCAGGAGCATCGTGGGATGGAGCATGACAGCACTCTCTCAGGAGCATCGTGGGCTGGAGCATGACAGCAAGCTCCCAGGAGCATCCTGGGCTGGAGCATGACAGCAAGCTCCCAGGAGCATCGTGGGCTGGAGCATGACAGCAGGCTCCCAGGAGCATCGTGGGCTGGAGCATGACAGCACTCTCTCAGGAGCATCGTAGGCTGGAGCATGACAGCACTCTCCCAGGATCACTGTGGGCTGGAGCATAACAGCACTCTCCCAGGAGCACCGTGGGCTGGAGCATGACAGCACTCTCCCTGGAGCACAGGGGGCTGGAGCATGACAGCACTCTCCCTGGAGCACCGGGGGCTGGAGCATGACAGCACTCTCCCTGGAGCACCGGGGGCTGGAGCATGACAGCACTCTCCCTGGAGCACCGGGGGCTGGAGCATGACAGCACTCTCCCAGGAGCACCGGGGGCTGGAGCATGACAGCACTCTCCCAGGAGCACCGGGGGCTGGAGCATGACAGCACTCTCCCAGGAGCACCGGGGGCTGGAGCATGACAGCACTCTCCCAGGAGCACCGGCAGCACATCTGGTCACTGCTCTCGCAGAGCCACGCTGGTTAGTCGTGGCTAGGCACCCATCCCAGCAAGGTGCTCGACCCGTCGTCCCCGCCCTCGCTAGCCCATGCTCTTGTGTCGGCCCACAGGACGACGCCCACCTACGCTCGTGCGCCACCCCTCACCTGTTTCTCCGGCTCGCCCATGCTGTGAGCAAGTTATACCCCCTTAGCCAACGCTGTGTCGTACCATGCTCAACACTGGGCTACCCACGGCAAACAATGGGGGGGTTAAATCCTATCCATTACCCAATTTCTGTGAATCAATTAATTCTCCTTTCAGTTCTTCCCATACTTGTTCAACAAGAATATTGACGATGTTGCCGGTTTAGAAACAAAACAAGTTGAAGGGCAAGACAACTGTGTAATATTTGGGAATCTTTATTGTGGCGTCTTCAGTCTGGTACAGAGAAGAAGGCTGGAGGGTGAGGGAAAGTTTGAGGTAATCAGTCCCTTAGCCTAGAGTGAATGTGTTCAGTTCATCAAGATTGATGGACTGAACACATCGACTCCAGCCTGAGGGACCGATTACCTCAAACTCTACATCATCTTCCATCGTTCTTCTTTGCAATGGACTGAAGAAGCCACTGGCTGGCGAAACGTTTCCACAATAAATATTCCCAAATGATGCGAAAGTGTCTCATTCTTCAAGGATATATATGCACCGAGGTGTATATATCTCCCAGTGTATATAGGAAGAGAGTTTAGTGATTCACGTGTTCTTGACTGGTGGTGAGCAAGTGTCAAGCAGCCTTAATGACCCTCGTGTAGTAGATAGGCTTGAAATCCCATTAGCCAAGCAACCGACTGCTCCGCGACTCTTGAAAACCGGAAGTTCTTCGACGCAGGTTGTCAAGTAACCTAAAGTGCCGAGTTTACTCTTGGACGCAGCTGCGTCAGGCGGTGATCTGCTTTGCGTCAGGTTATCTGAAAACCCATCTACACCTGCTGTTTAACGTTACTACAGCTGCACGAGGCCCTGATGACTGCTGTAAGTCAGCTGTCTGCGCTGCGGAGTGCACCTTTCCCGCGAGGTTCAATGACCCCAACCAGAAGGAACACTGCAGCAGGTCTACTGGGTCAAGCTGGTCAGGTCCAACTCACACCCACTCACGTATATGTCTAACCTAGTTTTTTTAACCCCGGTGTCCCTAGCTAACCGCAGCATCCCTAGTGATCCCTGGTGTGTCTAGCCAATCCCGGCATTTCTTGTGATCCCTACTCACTTTCAGCATCCCCAACGATCCTTAACTCATTCCCAACATCCCTGGTGATTCCTAGGTCACTCCCAACATCCCAGGTATCCCAAGCTTACTCCCAGCATCCCTGATGATCCCTAGCTCACTCCCAGCATCCCTGGTGATTCCTAGCTCACTCCCAGCATACCTGATGATCCCTAGCTCGCTCCCAGCATCCCTGGTGATTCCTAGCTCACTCCCAGCATCCCTGGTGATCCCTAGCTCACTCCCAGCATCCCTGGTGACCCCTAGCTCACTCCCAGCATCCCTGGTGACCCCTAGCTCATTCCCAGCATCCCAGCCGTTGTGCCAAAGTAATCCAGCCGTTGTGCCAAAGTATTCCAGCCACTGTACTAAAGTAATCCACAGTTGTACTAAAATCATCCACCGCTACCTGTACTAAAGTAATCCATCGCTGTACTAGAGTAATCCACCGTTGTACTAAAGTAATCACCGCTGTACTAAAGTAATCCAGCAGCTGGAGTATCTGATCTGGATCTGTTTTTATATCCGGCATGGCACAGCACAGCACAGCACAGCACAGCACAGCACAATGCAACACAGCACAACATAACACAGCACAATACAACACAACAGCACAGCACAACATAATGCAACACAGCACAACAGAACACAGCACAGCACAACATAACACAACACAGCACAACATAACACAACACAGCACAACATAACACAGCACAACATAACACAGCACAACATAATACAACACAGCACAACATAACACAGCACAATACAACACAACAGCACAGCACAACATAACACAGCACAACATAACACAGCACAACATAATACAACACAGCACAACATAACACAGCACAATACAACACAACAGCACAGCACAACATAATGCAACACAGCACAACAGAACACAGCACAGCACAACATAACACAACACAGCACAACATAACACAACACAGCACAACATAACACAGCACAACATAACACAGCACAACATAATACAACACAGCACAACACAGCAAAGCACAACATAACACAGCACAACATAATACAACACAGCACAACACAACACAGCACAGCATAACACAGCACAACATAATACAACACAGCACAACACAACACAGCACAACATAACACAGCACAACATAATACAACACAGCACAGCACAACATAACACAGCACAACATAACACAGCACAACATAATACAACACAGCACAGCACAACGCAACACAGCACAACATAAACACAGCACAACATAATACTACACAGCACAACATAACACAGCACAACATAATACAACACAGCACAGCACAACATAACACAGCACAACATAACATAGCACAACATAATACAACACAGCACAACACATCACAGCATAACACAGCACAACATAATACAACACAGCACAACATAACACAGCACAACATAATACAACACAGCACAACACAGCACAACATAATGCAGCACAGCACAACACAGCACAACATAATGCAACACAGCACACCACAACACAACACAACACAGCACAGCACAACATAACACAGCACAACATAATACAACACAGCACAACATAACACAGCACAACATAATACAACACAGCACAACACAGCACAACATAATACAACACAGCACAACACAACACAGCACAACATAATACAACACAGCACAACACAACACAGCACAACATAATACAACACAGCACAACACAACACAGCACAACATAATACAACACAGCACAACACAACATAACACAGCACAACACATAACATAGCACAACAGAACACAGCACAACACAACATAACACAGCACAGCACAGCAAAACAGAACATAGCACAACACAACACAGCACAACAGAAGACAGCACAATACAACATAACACAGCAAAACATAACACAACACAGCACAACAGAACACAGTACAGCACAACATAACACAGCACAACATAACACAGCACAACATAACACAGCAAAACATAACACAGCATAACACAGAATAATATTACATAAATTTAACCAGGGCAGTTTGCCTCTACAACGAACAACAGCGCTGTACCACTTGACGTAACCTGTACCACTTGACGTAACCTGTACCACTTGACGTAACCTGTACCACTTGACGTAACCTGTACCACTTGACGTAACCTGTACCACTTGACGTAACATGTACCACTTGACGTAACCTGTACCACTTGACGTAACCTGTACCACTTGACGTAACCTGTACCACTTGACGTAACATGTACCACTTGACGTAACATGTACCACTTGACGTAACCTGTACCACTTGACGTAACCTGTACCACTTGACGTAACCTGTACCACTTGACGTAACCTGTACCACTTGACGTAACCTGTACCACTTGACGTAACCTGTACCACTTGACGTAACCTGTACCACTTGACGTAACATGTACCGCTTGACGTAACCTGTACCACTTGACGTAACCTGTACCACTTGACGTAACATGTACCGCTTGACGTAACCTGTACCACTTGACGTAACCTGTACCACTTGACGTAACATGTACCGCTTGACGTAACATGTACCACTTGACGTAACATGTACCACTTGACGTAACATGTACCACTTGACGTAACCTGTACCACTTGACGTAACCTGTACCACTTGACGTAACTTGTACCACTTGACGTAACCTGTACCACTTGACGTAACTTGTACCACTTGACGTAACCTGTACCACTTGACGTAACCTGTACCACTTGACGTAACATGTACCACTTGACGTAACATGTACCACTTGACGTAACCTGTACCACTTGACGTAACCTGTACCACTTGACGTAACCTGTACCACTTGACGTAACCTGTACCACTTGACGTAACCTGTACCACTTGACGTAACCTGTACCAACTTGACGTAACCTGTACCACTTGACGTAACCTGTACCACTTGACGTAACCTGTACCACTTGACGTAACCTGTACCACTTGACGTAACCTGTACCACTTGACGTAACATGTACCACTTGACGTAACCTGTACCGCTTCACGTAACATGTACCACTTGACGTAACCTGTACCACTTGACGTAACCTGTACCACTTGACGTAACCTGTACCACTTGACGTAACATGTACCACTTGACGTAACCTGTACCGCTTGACGTAAACATGTACCACTTGACGTAACCTGTACACTTGACGTACCTGTACCACTTGACGTAACCTGTACCACTTGACGTAACATGTACCACTTGATGTAACCTGTACCACTTGACGTAACCTGTACCATTTGACGTAACATGTACCACTTCACGTAACTTGTACCACTTGACGTAACCTGTGCCATTTGACGTAACATGTACCACCTGACGTAACTTGTACCACTTGACGTAACCTGTACCACTTGACGTAACCTGTACCACTTGACGTAACTTGTACCACTTGACGTAACTTGTACCATTTGACGTAACATGTACCACTTCACGTAACTTGTACCACTTGACGTAACCTGTACCACTTGACGTAACCTGTACCAATTGACGTAACTTGTACCACATGACGTAACTTGTACCACTTGACGTAACCTGTACCACTGCCTCTGTGTTCTGTACTCTATCACCACCACTAGTGTACCCCACCACCAATACAACAACCACTAGTGTACCCCACCACCAATACAACATCCACAAGTGTACCCCACCACCGCTACAACAACCACTAGTGTATCCCCCACCACAACAACAACCACTAGTGTACTCCACCACCACTACAACAACCACTAGTGTACCCCACCACCGCTACAACAACCACTAGTGTATCCCCCACCACTACAACAACCACTAGCGTACCTCACCACCACTATAACAACCACTAGTGTGCCCCACCACCACTACAACAACCATTAGCGTACACCACCACCACTACAACAACCAATAGTGTACCCCACCACCACTACAACAACCACTAGTGTACCCCACCACCACTACAACAACCACTAGTGTACCCCACCACCACTACAACAACCATTAGCGTACACCACCACCACTACAACAACCAATAGTGTACCCACCACCACTACACAACCACTAGTGTACCCCACCACCACTACAACAACCACTAGTGTACCCCACCACCACTACAACAACCACTAGTGTACCCCACCACCACTACAACAACCACTAGTGTACCCCACCCCACTACAACAACCATTGCGTACCCCCCACCAAAACAACCACTAGTGTACCCACCACACTACAACAACCCTATGTACACACCACCAATACATAACCACTAGTGTACACCACCACCAATACAACAACCACTAGCGTACCCCACCACCACTACAACAACCATTAGCGTACACCACCACCACTATAACAACCACTAGTGTACCCCACCACCACTACAACAACCATTAGCGTACACCACCACCAATACAACAACCACTAGCGTACCCCACCACCACTATAACAACCACTACAACAACCAATAGTGTACCCCACCACCACTACAACAACCACTAGTGTACCCCACCACCACTACAACAACCGCTAGTGTGCCCCACCACCACTATAACAACCACTACAACAACCAATAGTGTACCCCACCACCACTACAACAACCACTAGTGCACCCACCACCACTATAACAACCACTACAACAACCGCTAGTGTGCCCCACCACCACTACAACAACCACTAGCGTACCCCACCACCACTACAACAACCAATAGTGTACCCCACCACCACTACAACAACCGCTAGTGTACCCCACCACCACTACAACAACTACTAGTGTACCCCACCACCACTACAATAACCACTAGTGTATCCCACCACCACTACAACAATCACTTGTGTACCCCACCACCACTACAATAACCACTAGTGTATCCCACCACCACTACAACAATCACTTGTGTACCCCACCAACAACACTACAACACACTAGTGTACCCCACCACCACACAATAACCACTAGTGTATCTCCACCACCACACATACAATCACTTGTGTACCCCACCACCACTACAATAACCACTAGTGTACCCAACCACCATTACAATAACCACTAGTGTACCCCACCACTACAACAACCACTAGTGTACCCCACCACCATTACAATAACCACTAGTGTACCCCACCACCACTACAACAACTACTAGTGTACATCACTACCACTACAACAACCACTACTGTACACCACCACTACAACAACTACTAGTGTACATCACCACCACTACAACAACCACTACTGTACACCACCACTATAACAACCACTTGTGTACCCCGCCACCACTACAACAACTACTAGTGTACATCACCACCACTACAACAACCACTACTGTACACCACCACTATAACAACCAGTACTGTACACCACCACTATAACAACCACTACTGTACACCACCACTATAACAACCACTAGCGTACCCCTCCACCACTACAACACACCACAACCACCACCAATCACACCCCTTTCACAACCACAGTGACCAGACGTACACTAGTTCCCTGGCTGGCTCACTTACACTCTGTGAGACTAGGATGCTCTTTCCCATTTGCATTACTAAACAGATCCTTAAAAAATATTATACAACTGTGTGCAACTCTGAAGGTTCGAACCTCCTTCCGAGAACTGGATCCCCGCCCTTCCTCATGAGAGCCGTGAGTGTCACCACCAGACAACTTCGTGAGTTAAGATGCGTTACCTTATCCCATTGGTTGAATGAAATACTTCAGCTCTTTACTGGAACAACGTTTCGCTCTGTTTAGATCTTTATCAGTCTGTGATGACTTGATGAAAATCTAAAAGGAACTTCATAATTAAAAGCTTAATCTCGTAACACAGAGGCAGCACTGTGGGACTACTAGCGCCTCTTAGCTCTAATTAAGCACTCAGGTCACCTCTCCTCAGGACCCCCTCAGCTTCGATACACTTATGGCTTCCTCAGCGCCTCACTCATTTAAGGAATTCCCTTCAATGGTAGATGCTGGTGAAGGCCTCCTCATTTATGCATTTAGAACTACCCTTCCCATAACTAGGGTTAAAACCTAATCACCCCTCACTTTCCAGGTGTTCCCTTGAGTGTTTATCCCTTCTTCACGAAAGCAGTTTGCTCTTTTCCTGTTTACATGCCACGAGGTGTCACGAACGTATCTCTAGTGTTGGCCGGGTGACAGAAAAACTCGCAGTGATAAACTAGTGAAGGAAATGATTTCAGTGAAATGAAAACAGTGACAGTATAGTACATCACTAAGCCAATACACGAGTGAAAACGCAATATAATTCTTGTAGTCATCGGGAGGGAAAAAGAAACCTTTGTATGTAACGTGAAGGAGAAGGAACCTCTGTAAATTAACCACACGTACCGTGAAGGAGGAACCTAAGTTAAACGCACGTAACGTGAATCAGACGAAGTAGTAGTGTCCAGACGTACTAGGAACGATTTGATAGCATCGTGTAAACTTGTGGCAGATTCTCAGTTCAAGGAAAAGGTAACCCGGGAGAATGTTGGTGTAGAAAGCAGAGACCAAACTTCAACTGAGTTTGTTTGGATATAACCAGAGTCTGATAGGACATCAACAGAGTCTGCTGGGACATAAGCAGAGTCTGCTAGGATAAAACCAAAGGTGCTCATCCTTACAAGTCCCAGCACCCAGCGGTAAGTACCTCACTCTTACAAATATCTTTGTTTTCAGTGTCATACCCGCAAGAATATTTGAGTTGTGGTTCTGATCCTCACTAAAACTCTTCAGGAAAGATGCTCTGGTAGGAACACATGGATAAACGACACTCACCCACCTTATATGGATGAGGAGGGTGAGTACCGTGTACCTAGAGTGAGTGTACTCTGTTGTACTTATTGACAGGGTAACACTTATGTTACCACGTCAGTACTCTAGAGGAACACCACATCAGCCTCTACAGTACTGTAGAGGAACATCAACTATGTTTAGTGCTCTGTGGATTCTGATATATTAAACAAAACAATTTAAATATTATAAGATACAGCATCAAAACTTAAGAAAAACTTTTTTTTTGCTTACATATCTATTTTGTCTTTTTTTTCTCAAATTCATCTGCCCTCACACGAGTGTCTTAATTCTAGAGACGTTTCCCCAACCAATGGGTTTACCAGTACAGTTCAGGGACATAAACTGAAGACAGTAGAAAATGAGGTAATCAGTCCCTCAGTCTAGGCGCAGTTGTTGAACACAGTAACATTCTAGAACCTTGTTTTAAACCCTAAAAGAGGGTTTAAAATGAACTTCCAGTGTAGGTATATAATATATATATATATATAATATATATATATATATATATATATATATATATATATATATATATATATATATGTGTGTGTGTGTGTGGTGTGTTGTGTGTGTGTGTGTGTGTGTGTGTGTGTGTGTGTGTGTGTGGTGTGTGTGTGTGTGCGTGTGTGTGTGTGTGTGTGTGTGTGTGTTTTGTGTGGGGTGTGTGTGTGTGTGTGTGTGTGTGTGTGTGTGTGTGGGGTGTGTGTGTGACTCAATCTAGAGCAACGTGACGCAGCGAGAACGGTCTCGTTCTGGTACACTACAATGTGAGTAATATTTCTTGGCACAGTTTCCCGATTCACCCCCTCGATCTCATTGATCATTCCCCTCCCTGCTGCTCATCTCCAAGCCTCTCATCTCCTAGCCTCTCATCCCCGAGCCTCTCATCCCCTAGCCTCTCATCCTCAAGCCTCTCATCCCCTATCCTTTCATCTCCTAGCCTCTCATCCCCTAGCATGACTGCCTCTTCTCTCCCAGGCTGGCTGCCTTTTACCTCTTCTCTAGACAAGCTAAGACCTACAACTATTTTAATGGTCAAAGAAAGCGGTACCGGCGATCACAGGGAAGAATGAAAACTTAATGGAAGGAACCAGTGAATTTAATCTATGTAGAATGTCATCAACTCTCATTATGAGGCCACAGACAGAGAACATCATCCCCATAACTCACCCATTTGGTATTTGGAGGAAGGATATTTCTGAGGTATGCGGATGATGTGCTCTGTCTGTGGCCTCGTAATGAGAGTCCTGATGACTATCCACCTAGATTAAACTCGCTGGTCCATTCCATTAAGTTCACTCTGGAAAGTGAGGTAAATGGAATAATTACATTTCTGGATATACATATTCACAGATCTTGTGGAACACTTAAGGTCAATGTTTATCTCAAGTCTACTAACATATGTTCATGCATACATTACTGTTCGAATCACCAAATACATATTAAAGAGTGTATTTAATTTTATATTTCTGAGATCCCTTAGGATCTGTAGCCCTGAATTATATGATGGGGAAATTAGAAAAATCTTTGAAATTGTTTCTAATTTGCAATATCCACGAACATTTATTGATAAAGGTTTCGATAAAACTAAACTTAATAATTCTACAAGATAAAACCTAATACCCAGTATAAACTTGAGAATTTATTGCTTTTACCATATAATAAATATATCTCTCACTTCCAACAAACTTTTAATTAAATACTTTAATGTTAAAGTTACCTTTAAATATGACAATACCCTGAAACATGATAATGTTTCTCCTATGTATGGACTGATGAAGCCACTGTGTGGCGAAACGTTTCCTCAATAAAGATACCCAAGAGTTGCACATGTGTCAAATTTATCAACATGTCGGTTCTCTGAACCATTCATCTACAACCCTGAAACATGAATTAATAAAAATTCTGCCAAGGAATCACTGGGTTGTGTATACTCCATCCCATGTTAAGGTTGTGATACCTCTTTAGGACAAACTGGCAAATCTCTTGAGGCCAGAATTAAACAACATAAATATGCAATATCAAGTGGACAAGACTCCAGTGCTTTGATCATTCACGTAAGAGATACAGACCATTGTGTAGATTGGACTAATGCCAAAGAATTACTTCCCTGTAATTCTACAGTTCAACGAAATATTTTGGAACCATCTCTTACCGAACATGATGCACAAGATATTTCAAATTTGTGTTCTGGAATGTATAAACTTGACACTTTTATAGCCCAAAATATTGTCCAAAATATTAAAGGTAAAAACGTTTTTTCACAAAAAATACGGAGTGTGTTCTTTGTCAAGTGAACAATGTAACTTGATATTAGACAAATGTGTGTGTGGGTTAGATTTGTGCGGGACCTGCTTGTGTGAGGTGTTGTCGCCTTAGCCGAGTGAGGTGTCGCCTCGGGGTTTAACACATAAAATGTGCTTCTCTGCCTCATTTTCCCATTCCTCTGAAGATGTGTGTAAGCATATGAAAGCGATGAGGTTTTATATCATATATATAATGTGTGTGAGTGTTTGTTTGTTTGTTTGTTTGTGTGTGTGTGTGTGTGTGTGTGTGTGTGTGTGTGTGTGTGTGTGTGTGTGTGTGTGTGTGTGTGTGTGTGTGTGTGTGTGTGTGTGTGGTTCAGTTATCAGTATCACTGATAACTTCAGAGACCAGCTGCTGACATCAGTCACCGTATTTAAAGCATTAAAAAGGAACAAGCTTCCGCCTGGGCGATGTTTCGCTCTGTGAAGAGTGCTGTCAAGTCTTTTGAGTTGGGGCGGAACGTTGTCGCAATCAAGGCTCGTCTTGCAGCCTACGCGTTTTATCTCACCTGGCTCTGCAGCACACTATGTGTAGCCAAAGTTAGTAGTGCACTGTGTAGCCATAGCCAGTACACTATGTGTAGCCATAGTTAGTAGATGTAGTACATTATGTGTAGCCACAGTCAGTAGTAGTACATCATGTGTAGCAATAGTCAGTAGTACACTGTGTAGCTATAGTTAGCAGTAGAAGTACACTATGTGTAGCCATAGTTAGTAGTAGTAGTACATTATGTGTAGCCACAGTCAGTAGTAGTACATCAATAGTCAGTAGTACACTGTGTAGCCATAGTCAGTAGTACATTGTGTAGCCATAGTTACTAGTAGTAGTACATTATGTGTAGCCATAGTCAGTAGTACATTGTGTGTAACCATAGTAGTATACTATATGTAACCATAGTTAGTAGTACACTATGTATAACCATAGTCAGTGACACGTCACATGTATCCATAGCGGCAAGCCATATGAATACATAATGGCACGCCATATGTAAACACTGTCAGCGGCACGTCATGTATCCAGTCATTTAGTGGTGATAAAGTAAGGACAGGTACCTTAATGGACTCACTGTCTGTCTGTCCATCACACTGGAATGACTGTATGGGACTGGTATGTTTCAACAGACTGTCTGTCTGTCTGTTACATTCTTATACACACAGCTGCCAGAATTTTCACCAAACTCCGCTGTTATTAATGAGAAACTGACCTTTAAAATACAGGACGAAAAATTCCTGATGCTGACCTTTAAGAGAGAGAGAGAGAGAGAGAGAGAGAGAGATTTCTATATAATTTCTGTAAAATTCTTGGACCCATAAGCACTGTTTTCATTTTCTACTAAGCATTTTCAGACCTTTATCTCCACATTCTTCACGTAAACATCTTAAAAAAATAATCCTAGCATTTGTTTCTTACTGGAATGTGTGACAGACTTCCTGGAATGTGTGACAAACTTCCTGGAATGTGTGAAGGTTTGCTGGAATGTGTGATAGACTTCCTGGAATGTGTGACAGACTTCCTGGAATGTGAGACAGACTTCCTGGAATGTGAGAAAGACTTCCTGGAATGTGTGACAGACTTCCTGGAATGAGTGAAAGATTGCTGGAATGTGTGATAGACTTCCTGGAATGAGTGAAGGATTGCTGGAATGTGTGATAGACTTCCCAGAACGTGTGTGTGTGAAGGTTTACTGGAATGTGTGATAGATTTCCTGGAATGAGTGCAGGTTTACTGGAATGTTTAGTAGTCCTAGCAGAATGTCTATCAGACCTACTGGAATGTCTAACAGGCCTACTAGAATGTCTAACAGGCCTACTGGAATGTCTACAGGCCTGCTGGAATGTCGAACTGGCCAACTAAAATGCCTAACATGCCTACTGGAATGTCTAGCAGCTTACTGGAAAGTTTAACAGGTCTACTGAAATGTCGAACAGGCCTACTAAAATTTCTAATATGCCTAATGGAATGTCTAACAGCCTATTGGAATGTCTAACATGCCTACTGGAATGTCTAACAGATTACTGGAATGTCTAACAAGCCTACTGGAATGTCTAACAGGCCTACTGGAATGTTTAACAGGCCTACTGGAATGTCTAACAGGCCTACCTGGATGTCTAACAGGCCTGCTGGAATGTCTAACAGGCCTACTGGAATGTCTAACAGACCTACTGGAATACTCCAAATATACATTTCATTGGTACTGAAACCTGGAATACCTGGGCCTTGAGATCACACAGAAACACACTCAGCGCCTTGCTGGAAAATGTGAGAATTCTCTCATACGTCGTTAAAGAGTTCGGTTGGGGGTCCTGGAACGGTGATGGGTGTTCATGTCCTGGCCCCGGGGGGCAGCGACCCCCGCCGTCCCCCTGAAATCACTAAGGGTTTTCTCCCTCTCTGCGGGGAGGCCACTTTAGTTAATACGGATTTTCTTCATCTGTGGGCCTCTCTTGCAACAGTGGAGGGTCTACTGTATACCTTGTCTATATAGGACGAATTTGTGTAAATGCTAGGATTGAGGAGGCTGTGGAAAAGGCGTTCTTAGTAC